CACCATAAATGACAACACGAATATACTAAAATCACTCTGAATTCATAACTCAAATTCCGTTCTACACGGCACGCCTATGACCCCCGTCAGATATAAAGAAATAATTTGAAATGGCGGCGCCCCTGCCGCTTAATGACAGGATGGCATCCCTAATGGCGGCGTGCGCAGAAAAGATGCGCGTGAGAGTAAGCCTGCTGAAAGTGGTACATGTATCTACTGCGTACGCTCACAGCTGTCCCAGTCAGTGGTTTTTGTTTAGATTATGACCTCGTAAATTAGCAGCATTAGAAGCATTCTTTGTTTATCCATTTATTTTTGAGATCAGTGGACACAATAGACAATCACATAATCCAGCATAATTGATTATGCTTGATTATCCTCGCGAAAAGTTGCCTTATTTTGAAATCTAGCTAATAATTTTCAAGTATCATTTTCCAGGGGGGGGCAACTGCCCCCTCTTGCCCCTCCCTGCCGGCGCCTATGCCTGTATGAAACACGACAATTTCTGTCACATTTACACATGGAGCATATATGTCATATAATACAGGGTGAGGCACGAAAAACTTCCCACCCAGAGTTTCTCAGGTGTTAGGTGTTTAATAAAAAATCGCTCAGACACGTCAATTTTTGTTTTTTAGGGGACACATTTAATTGGTATTTTCACCCCCTACCTGTCAACTCCTAAGTGGGGGTAACAGGTACCCCAAAAATTTCAAATGGAAAAAGGGGTCGAGTGATATGTCATTTGGTAGCTATTTTCATTAAGATTATATCTCCGAAGCTTTAAGTTGCTAGTGTTCACCCTGTCGAAATGTCGGCATGTCCAAGTTAGGATAATAGTTATTTATGGTAGGTACTACACCTTTTCCAATTGTAATTCAGAAAGCGGAAAATGTATTTGAGAAAGGGAAATTAAGTTTCAGAAAATGGAAAATGTAATTCAGAATAGGAAGTTATTATTCAGAATATGGAATTTGAAATTCAGAAAAGGAACATAATATTCAGAAATGGGAATTTGTAATTCAGAATAGGAATATGTGATTCAGAAAAGGGAAATTTAATTCCAGAAAATGTAAATTGTAATTCAGATATGCAATTTTGAAAATCAGAAATAGGAAAATGTAATTCAGAATCATGAAATATCTATGAGTGTTTTTTTTTTCAACTTTTAATCTTGTGTCGCTGAACACGGGACTGCTACTTGCGTTTATTAAATTATCATTACTACAGTTTTACATAAAAATGTTCTTTGCGAATCCAAATACAAAAATCGTATTCATACAAATTCAATTTTTATTCAGTTACCTATACGTAAGCAGATAATAATATACCTCTAAAAAAATTACCAAAAAGTATGTTGATAACTTAATTTCCTCAAATGCAATTCAAAATTTCAGTTACTGTCCAACTGGCATATCCTTTAATGCTAGCGCCACGGCATGGAAGGTGGTTGGGTGTTGGGTGGTTCTCTCACTATCTGTATGTACCTGTGCTCTGCTCTGTATCTCTGTACATAGCTTATCGTGAGGTGCATATTATACTTTTCAGAATTACAAATTCCATTATCTGAAATTAAATTTTCACCGAGATTTTCACCTTCTGAAATACAATTTCCCTTTTCTAAATTATAATTTACAGTTTCTGAATTTCAATTTACTATTCTGAATTACAATATTGCTTTTCTGAATTTCAACTTCCTAATCTGAATTTCATTTTCCCTATTCTGAAATTAAAGTTACAATTCTCAAATTCAATTTCTCTTTTCTGAATTATAAGTTCCTATTCTGAAATACATGTTCCCTTCTCTGAAATTAAAGTTTTATTTTCTGAATTACAATTGAAAAAGGTGTAGTGTGTTATGTTGAGAATAAGTCACGCGAGAAAAATTTATATAATATATAATATAATATATATAATATAATTTCTCGAGTGACTTAGAAAACATAACACACGAGTAGCATATAATGTTTTCTCCAACAACTCAACTGAGAAATTATAACACACGAGCAGCATACAAGAACTGGAAAAACTAATAGGTATTTTTTGGCAATGAGTCTTCCTTAAAGCAGAATTTATAAATTCTATTTCCTGAAGTTTGGCATTGACGTTATAAGAGTGTGAGTTATGAACCATAACTCCCTAGTGGGTTATGGTTTATAACACACTGGTGTGTTATTTGATAGTTTACCTGTCTAAATTCGCACAAATAATTACTCTTATAGCAGGTGTTGGATAAATGCTTTTTTTCGATAATCTAAACTGTATAGTTTTTACCTGTCACACCCATGCGAAGGTAACAGGTAAAAACCACACACCATTTTTCCATTGATTTTTCCTCACTTTGACAAGCCACCATTTCGACAGGGTAAATAGTAGCAACTTAAAACTTCGGGGATACAATTGATACAATGAAAATAGCTATCAAATGACGTATCACTCGACCCCTCCTTTCATTTGAAATTTTGGAGGTACCTGTCACCACTTAGGGATTGACAGGTAGGAAGTGAAAATACCAATAAAATGTGTCCCCCAAAAAACAAAAATTGACGTATTCGAGCGATTTTTAATTAATCACTCAACACCTGAGAAAACCTGGGTGGGAAGTTTTTCGTGACCCACCCTGTATATTAAATTACGATCAAAGAAAAAAAAAAAAGATTATTGTAAAAAATTACTTGTAATAAAATGTGATGGGTGTTTCTCTCTCTCGCTTGGCTGAAATCTACTCTAGCCGACTGCACCCGAATGGGCGTTACATAGCAGAGCGTGACGACTCAGTTTCATTCAATACCCACAAAAAAGTGTGATGCCTGAGCGCGACTAAATAAGTTTTCACTCAAAAAATATTCCTCGAAGTTCCAATATAATGACCAAACTTGCAAACATCAAACATTTAATTTCGTCGACTTATCTGATGTAATCTTAGGCCCAGTTCCACAATTATTGGTGGTCACCTTCACTGGTTTTCAAACTCATAGTTGCGGGTTGACCACATTGAAAAATCTGAAGCTTGACCAATGCAATGGTTTGGCTAAACCACACATTATGAAACAGATATATTGTAGGTTACCAGTGTCTTGTCCTAACCGTTGGGTTACCACTGTTTGTGAAACTGGCCCTGAATGTAATAAAAAACTTTCGCCTTTTTTCAAAGAAGTTTAATTACATTTTGAAACTCAACTTGCCGTTTGAAAGGGGACTATAACCAATCTAAAATTTATGTAGGAACTTTTTATAAAGCAAGAACAAGAAATAGCAAGAGTCTTGCAGCAAGAACAAGAAATAGGCTTGCAAGAAATTTGCAAGAACGAGAAATTGGAAATTTCTTGTCTTGCTTAGCAAGACAAGATAAGAAATAGCCGAGCAAGACAAGATTTCTTGCGACCTGCAACACTATTTTCAATATTCACTTTGCACTCTCGACAATTATTACACTATGCTGCACAGGAACCACAGCACACACACTCGAAGCAAATAACAAGCGTACTGAAGAAGCGTCATTCGCGCGTTTGTAGACATAGACATACTAAAGAGTCTGGGGAGCAGACAGACGGAGAAGCGTCACTCACGCGGCTGAGAACATACTAAAGAGTCTGGGGAGCAGACAGACGGAGCTCTGGAGGATGCCAAACGATATTTCGCGTGTAGTCAACGGTGTAGCTAAATTCACCAAAATATTGCACCGATCCTAATAAGTTCGTTTAGGATCGGCTGAAACGCCCACCGTTGCCAAATGTATCGTTATAGCTTCGGAAAGGTAGTGTTTTGCGCACTTTATTACTTCGATTTCTGCGATTACTTTCACAGGCATAGTGTTGCGCATTTGGGATACGCGCGGATTTTAGAGCAAAAGGTTCCGATTCTTGTTGAAGGCAATGCATTTTTTTTTTCGTTTTTTTTTTTTTTTTGCTTAGGGTTTTTATTTTTCTTTCAAAGAATATTAAGAGGACGGGTTAGTTTGGGTTAGTTTTGATTTGCTTTGTTTCATTAAAAACACCAACATACAAAGACTAGCACTTATTACGGAGCTCCGCCTGTCTTGTGTAGTCATGTGCATACCTCTGCGCCCTCTTGGTTCGATACGAATCCTGCGGCGACGGTTGCGTTCGGGACCTAGACGACGCAAAAAGAAGGACGGACAGCGCGTAATCTCATCTCATAATAGGTCAAGCCGACGGCATAGGACTAAAATATATAAATTCTGGTACTTTAAATTAGCACAACGAAAATAGCACACATCGGAAAAATTAGAGTACTAAATTCGAGCCTATTTAGTGCTGATTTAGTACGAAAAAAAAAACTATATATTATATTTTTAAAAAAACTCGGTGCATGTGTGCCAGCTCAAGATTAAGCTGGCACACTCTAGTTGAATAAGTTCGAATCTTTGAAAATCTAGTACCTTATATTTAGTGCTAATTAAGTAAATTCATGGCACGCCTAAAAAACTAACAATGATGTATCTATTACGAAATAACCACGGAAAAGTGCTAACTTAAGACTTGAATTAGCACACATACATCGAATCGACCGCGCGAGAACGGAATTTGCATGTACCTATTTAGTGCTAATTTAGTACTGCAAAAACGACGACCCGAAACGAATTAGTATCATATCGGCACAGAGCTAGCACTTGTGTGCTGGCGTATGTTTAAGTTAACGAACATTATCAGCGATGACGCAACGAAACTAGAGGACTGAATTAGCACACATTTAGTGCTAATTTCGGACCTTAGTTTGGGTTATTCGCGCGGTCGATTCGATGTATATGTGATAATTCAAGTCTTAAGTTAGCACTTTTCCGTGGTTATTTCGTAATAAATACATCATTGTTAGTTTCTTACGTTTTGCACGTAATTTTTTTAAAAATAGAGTTTTAATTTTTTTTTTGTACTAAATTAGCACTAAATAGGCCCGAACTTAGTACTCTAGTTTTTCTGATGTATGCTAGTTTTTGAGACCTTATAAATAGGTACCTAATAAATAAATATTTTTTTCAGCAACAACCGGGGCAACAACTGTCCGATGATTTAAAAAATATACTTAGAATTAATAAACGACGTTGTATGGCTGAGCCGCTATATGGCAAAGACTTTAGAGAGACTTGCAAAATTTTTTCACCTAACAAAATTTTCGCATGGGCTTGTGGCCGTTTATACTGTTTAAATGTTCTCCATAATAAAAACTATACTTATCATAGTAATTTTCTGAAAGAAGCTTTGCATAATCCAACGAGGAGGATCGAAGCATTAAAAGATATTTTCGATAGGTGAGTGTTTTCAATAATTATAAATAGAGGTAAATTTTTTGAAGTAGTTACCATCATAGTAGGTAGTTATTTTTGAAACTAACATCAGAAACTAATAATTTATGAATCATCGCAAGAGTCAAAATAGCACACAAATGTACTACCAGTCAAAATTTTTAATGAATCTTATTATATTAAAAAAAGGTGCTTGAAGAAATTAATTTTTAAAATACGTCAAAGATTAATCTTTTTCCAGATTCATATTATATATACCGACAGTAAATTCCAAAGGACCCGACATCCGTGTATGTCGTCCATCGCCTAGCCTTTACTACACCAACCAACGACAACAATATCTTCTTCAACAAATATTTTCTAAACCAATTATTCCATTACACCGAATTGCCACAGCAATGATGTGTCAATTCCCGGACGCCAGATTAATTCAGTACGATTGCGGCAAACTGCAGAAACTTGCTGAATTACTAAGAAAATTGAAAAATGAGAGTCATAGGGTGTTGGTTTTCACTCAGATGACTAAAATGTTGGATGTGTTGGAATTTTTTTTCAACTATCATGGGTATATTTATTTGAGAATGGATGGGACGACAAAGATTGATCAGAGACAGGTTTTATAGTTAAAAAAAAAAGTTACAATTTTTGTTGTAAATATGATATTTCTCTTAGATTTTATTAGATAGATTTAACAACGACCAGAGAATATTTGCATTTATATTATCAACACGATCAGGAGGCGTCGGCATTAATCTAACAGGGGCCGACACTGTAATATTTTATGACTCTGACTGGAATCCCACTATGGACGCTCAGGCCCAAGATCGTTGTCACAGGATCGGTCAGACACGAGACGTCCATATTTATCGGTAAGGATTTTCTATCAATGAACTTTGAACCATTTGGATCGTTCAATTTTTTTTACAATAATTTGTATCTAATAATCTCATCCGCAATACATTTAATGGATCAAGAGATAACTGGTATATTATCACAGAGTTTTGCATTCCAGACTAATCAGTGAAAAAACAATAGAAGAAAATATTTTGAAGAAGGCAAATCAGAAAGAAATTCTCTGCAATCTAGCAATAGATGGCGGTAACTTTACAACATCGTATTTTACAAATCATGTAAGTAAACAAACGGTAAACATTCTCTATTACTTGTCAATTTCCATTGGTTAAAAATTAGTTGAACGTTAGTTTTGCTTGGTTTATAATTCTGTGTATCTTGAAACCTTAGAGTGCAATAGTTGAGGAATTGTTCACCATTGATCAAACATTGGATTCTGCCGAAAAGCGCATTGGAAAGAAAACTTGTGATATTGATTCAATAATGAATGACAAATTGAAAAGTTATGAAAAAACGCTGGCTGCTTGTGAAGATGACCAAGACTTTCAGGTGAATTGAAATTTCTAATTTTAGGATATGCACTAGACGGAATTTAATATAATATATCCTGTTCACAATCCGATGTCTACAGGTGCTGGTAAATTTATCACCTTTCCCTATCAAATAGCATTGAAAGGTAATTTTACCTGTACCTACCTGTGGACATCGGATTGTGAACGGATAATGGGTACTAATTTTACTCATTATACTACATACTAAGCAGTTTATTTTTGTAATTTTTTAAATTGATTTAAAAAAACAATAATAATAATTTCAGGCTACCAAATATGCTGAAGCAGAAGCTATGGCAAATTTGATGGAGTTTGATGAAAGTATTCCACCTAAAACTTTCAATAATAAGAACAAAGAAGGAGAAGTAAGCAAAGAGTTACAAGAGATCAATGAATTAATTGGAAAGGTAAGATAAATATTTCACGTACCCACCTGCCTTCCTAATGGATTATTAATTTTGAAAGGGTTTTCAGAATTAATTTCCAAATTAGTACTTGCCTCATTGTTGTATACAAAAGTCTTACTAAGGCTTGCCGTTATTAATTTGGTAAATAATGAATGTTAAGGAGGGATTCCCTCATTTTATTTATTTTCAATTTTAAAATTGCGGACAAAACTGTTAATATACGTAAGGTATTTTCACTATTTTCTACATCAATTGACGTTAATTTTCTTCTACAACAAAGCACACAATTCCGATACTAGTTGGTGTGGAACACATAAATCAAAGGCAAGATCGGAGTTTACCCGGAGAATAATTGTCCACACGATACAGAGTTGCGAAGGAAAACAAAAGTTGCTAAGCTCCCCAAAGTTATATCGCAGGTTATATGTCTCATCGTCAGCTAGTCTATAGATGTTTCGGGAATGAACACGGCAAATATTTACTACTATATTGGAGATATTCCTGCTTTCAGTTATGGGTATATTATAATGGATGTTTTTTTTTATATTTTTTCGTTTTTTTGATCGATTATTTCTTGACAAAATTCTAAAAATTGTGTTGACCAGATTCCCTCTGCTAGGAAGTCACATTAACCCTATTTTCCGTCCTTCTCACCACTGCACTAGTTGACAAAAAAAACTTCATGTGAGGGTTCACATCGACTCAATTGATTTTAGGAGAAGGAAGAAGAAAAGCAGTTTATTTGGAGACTTGCTATTCAGTTGAATCAAGAGCCGATATTTCGATACCAGTTAGTCATCTCCAGAGCAAAGAAAGAAAGGGGCTCATTAGTTACTTGTAAATATCTCGTAAAATATGCACATTCAAGTCGTTTAAAAAATATAGGAACGTAAACACTATATAAATTGAATAGCAATTAGCTTATACCATATGTAGGTATATTAACGTTAATGCTCGGTAAACAGTCAAAAAAATGCCTACCTACCTACATCCGCAAAGCTGAGTTGGGCGATCTTCTGGGAATTCCTGATACTTCATTCTACAAGAGAAATAAATCGACACTCACATGTAGGTTCAGGGTGAGTTACAAAGCGCGCGGTGGTCCATATCTCCTATACTAGCGGAGATCGAAGAAAAAACTAAATACAAAACTTGTAGATAAACATGAGTACTACATTCCTAAATTATTTTCCAGTATACAGGTGGTTCAATAAGTAGTGTTGATACAAAGTTATGTTTTTTTTAAATGACTCCCCCTGTATATTCTCACATTTTCGAATTTATACTTCAATTTCAAGTAACTTCTCTTAATGACTTCCTATAAATATCTGAATATCTGCCGCCGTTATCGAAAAAGAAACTCAAAAATTTAATGCAAAAAATTACTTGGAAAAAGATGCGATTTCTCGCTTGTTTAAGGCCGCGTTAATGGCCGCCATGTTGAAATTTAGTTTCTGAAAATGACGACTGCGCCACTCTACACTTACGGTTCAATATTCTATTTTTTGTCCAAAACAAAATCTGTTTGTCGGTGAAACACTTATCGAAAGAGAAAGACAAACATACAATTATGATGCTCCCAATGTAGCTTTTTTGCCGTGACGCCATCTACTTGAAATTGCTTGAACTGTAACTGTCAAATTTTTACCAATTTTCACCTTCAAATTCGTTTTAAGGTCATCTCAAAAAATCCGCAATAATTTCCAAAATCCTTTGGCATAAACATTATTTGATATATTATCTACAATTAGCTTTTTTTAGTTTTTCGTGGTTATCAATAAATGGTTATTTTTGTATCTAGGGCGCGAAATGCTACTTTGGTGATCGAGAACTGATTTTTTTTAACGAGGCGCAGCCGAGTTAAAAAAATAGTCGAGATTACCAAAGTATTTCGCGCACGAGTTCCAAACAATATTTTTTCTACAACTCCATTTAAATATCGATGATTCGGAGCTAAAATTGCATTAACAATTAAAGGCAGGTGAATTTTAATTATTTTGGGTTTCCTGTCAGGTGCCAGGTATTTGTTACCTGAGTGTGCGAACTAGGCATTTCGCACACTGGAAAGTCATTTCGCACGCGGCGTCATGGGAACGTTAAAAAAAACTACCTGGAGAAAAAAGTGTCACTTCGCAAATTGTCACCAGTGTGCAAACATCATCTTTTTTTGACAGTTGTAGAAAAATATGGTTTTCACGGATCCGAGCTTGATAAACATGCAAATATGCAACCACCAACACATTTAGTTGTTTTGTTGAACATAATTTTCGAATTAAAAAAAAAAGGCAGAATATCGAAAAACTAAAATTATCAAAGAATGTTTATGCCAAATTTGAGCTAATTCTGATGTGCCGTTTTTTTAAAGACCCTAAAAGAAGTTTCGAAAAATCAACCAATCAGAGCACTGCATTCTCATCGTTGTTGCGGACTTAAACGTAGGCGAGTTCCACAAGTCGAGCGAGTGTGAAATAGTATATTACATGCGGAGGTGGAAAGTGTTTCATTATTGTCGAGAGATACTATGGTTCACCGAGGTGCGAAGCACCGAGGTCAACCAATTCTCGAGACAATAATGTGTAAACTTTCCACTGAATCATGTATACTATTTTATTTTGAACCATTAATTATTGAAAAAAATAAGGTTAAAATATGACAAAAATGGAATTTCGACTGACAGTCTGACACCGACATTGACATCTTATAAACTTTCAACAATATAAACACATGACATCTAATTCTAAATACAAACATTGCACCTGGATTTGTGTTTAGGTGTGAAAGAACAATTTATCAGGGCCGAAAGTGAGTTCTCCAGGCCGAAAGTGACAGGAGAACAGTCACTTTCGGCCTGCTTTTAAGTAAACAAAAGTAAAGTGATATTTTCGAACCTCCAAACCAGTAAGGAATGCATTAATTACATATATGGTTCAAAATAAAAAGGTTTTCAAATGAGTTTTCTACAATATTTTTCCTATAACTGCAAAATAAAACAACCAAATATGTTATTTTTATTTGTTTGCTTGCGGAAAAGACACTTTGCGCACGTGTTAGGAACAAAATGTTTCCTACGAGCTAGGTAGGTAACAACCTATTCATCAAAAAATTACATAACAAAAAAAAAAAAAAATAGAAAATCCTCGTCAGAGCTGTTCATCTTAAAGCGTTTGAATTTGATGCGAAAGAAGTTTGTGGATTCTTGCATTTAAATGGTGAACACAAATCTGACAATGTGTCAAAGTTAATTATATTCAGTGTTTGTATAGATGCTGGCTGATATAGAAACAGAGGAAAAATTTGTCATCATTTTTCAAAGTCAACAGGTGCACTTATTGTTGCTTGACAATTATTTTTACTTTTCGGCACTCAGTGCGGATACAGGCCCTATCTGCAGTGAGTGCGAAAAAGTGTAACTTTGAGAACGGAAATGCGTGCGAAAAAGTACTACTTTGCGCACGCTCGTAGGAAATAGTTATTTTCCTAACAAGTGCGCAAAGTGTTACTTTTCCGCACGCAAACACAGTTATACGAACGACGCGAAGCGGAGTTCGGATACGTGTTTGCGTGCGGAAAAGACACTTTGCGCACGTGTTAGGAACAAAATTTTTCCTACGAGCTTCATATCAGGTAGGTAACAACAAAAATTTAAAAAAAAAAAACGATAATTTGTTTAATTATTTTTAATTAACTTGAAGGGAACCTATGCATTTATCAAAAAATTACATAACAAAAAAAAAATATAACAGAAAATCATCGTCAGAGCTCTTCATCTTAAAGCGTTTAATGGCGATTTCCATTTGTCATCAGTGCCGCACTGAGTGCATCCGCATCTTTTTCTAAAAGCATGTAACATGTAAGGATAAGGATACATTTTTTTGCCCTGTTTCGACAAATGGAAAATGCTATAAATTTGATGAGAAAGTTTGTAGATGCATATATATAGAAAACAAATCTGACAATGTGTTGAAGTTAATTAAATTTGGTGTTTGTAGGTATAGATGTTAGCTGGAACAGGAACAGAGGAAAAATTTGTCATCATGTGTCAAAGTCGACAGGTGTACTTATTGTTGCTTGACAATTATTTTTACTTTTCGGCACTCAGTGCGGATAAGGCCTGTATCCGCACTGAGTGCGGAAAAGTGCAACTTTGAGAACCGAAATGCGTGCGGAAAAGTACTACTTTGCGCACGCTCGTAGGAAAACTAATTATCAACATTTCAGTATTACAGCAATTTATGTCATGTCCTGTCAGGATGATAATACGACCAAAATAAATAAAAACCTAGTAAGCAGCGTGTATAAAACTTTTTCGCACGTTGAGGATCGTGTGAAAAACTTTTTCGCACAGCGTGCGAAAAACTCTATTTTCAGAGGTTGCCTAGCGTGTGAAGAATTCAATTTTCAGAGGCAGTTGTAGGAAAAATTTATTCAAAAAATGACGTTTTCTGATTGGTCTATTTCATAATGGGTGAAATAGTCATACAGTGTGTCCACTTAAGTTCGCAGCATATGGAAAACTTTTAATTATCAATTTTACGAAAAAAAGTTATTCTTTATAAAAGTTTCTGCTTCTTGAAAAAAAAATATTAAACTATCAAAACTTAGAATAGCATGTACAGGGTGGCCCAAATTGGACACTTTCTTATGGAAACACCCTCTATTTTTAGAGATAGAAAAAAATGAACCTCCCACTCTGAGGCTCAAATTTCATGAAATTTTGATTGGTGCAAACCGCATTTTGATATCTTCAACCGTTTAGGCGCTAGAGGGCGATTCTCGATTTTGAGCAATACTGTAAAGTCTCCATAACTTTTTTGTTTATGAAAATAATTCATTTCCGTAAAGACCTTTTGGAAGCACTTTTTCAAGCAGAATTCAGTGACATTCGCAGTTTTTTTCTGTCTGGCTTCGATTTCGAGATATTGACCAAAATACGATTTTTTTCAATAGGACACCCCATATATTAATAGTTCATTAGAAAGCTATGCTTTCGCTGATTTCAA